AAGAGAGATAAAGCTTCTTCGATATCCCGAGATCGGACAGTGTATGATGTCGTGGCAAAATACAAGGAGTGAGAAGTCAGAGGAAGGTCTCCTAACACCCGCGAGAAAGTGCACTCGAAGGAGCCGCGTAGTCCAGGACGCCAGAAGTCATTCAAACGCGTTCAAGAACTGATTTTTTTGAGGATCCCAGGAACATCGATCCGAAAAAATTGCGTCGCTTGGTCGGAATAAGTGGAGACAACAATGCGTCAGATTGTCCAGGAAGACCTCCGTTAACAAGTCCTACACCATCATAAAGTTCGACAGATGCTTTCTGAAGCCGCCAGGGACGAAGAGAGTTGAACGGTGCAATCTTCTTTTTGTGCTCCCTTACGGAACAAGGCGCTGACGAATCAGATTTTTTTCCGACGAGAAAATTTTTACCGGTAGACGCAAAAATTTAATCGAAAGAAATGACGCGCTGGCTTGCCCCGCGACCCTGAGATGTCCCTGTGGTATCGAGAAACAAAATTTTTCCGGCCAATGTGCACGTGCTAGGAGTTGTTTCGTCCGAAGGTGATGTTATGCCACTCATTTCTTCCAAAAGGGGAAAATGTGACAAGGAGGTTTATGTGAATGTCTTATCTAACGTTGTGAAGCCGTGGATGGGACAACGTAGCATTTGGAGGCCATATGTGTTCCAGCAAGACGGTGCGCCGCCCATACGAGTCATTTGGTGCAGAATTGGTTTTATCGGACAATATCGACATGTTTTTGGTCGAAGGAATTCTGGCCTCCCAACAGCCCAGATTTAAATCCGTTGGATTATTATGTATGGAGCGTGGTTGAGAGAGTGACAAACAAGTCGAGACACCCGAACGAGCAATCTCTCCGAGTCGCTATTGAAGCAGCATTCGCCGAAATGGACCGTAATGCCTTGCACCGTGCTGCGAGCGGTTCAGACCCAGATTGGAGGCGGTCGTTCAAGCAAGTGGGGGATAATATAGAATAAATTTATTCCATATGATCCTATACATTTACGTGGAAAAACATTTTGTTTAATTTTTCATGTTTACAACAAAAAATATAGTGTAAAAGAAAAATGTTCAATTTGTCCGATTTTGGCCGTGCACCCTGTAATATATATAAGAAGTTAAATGGATAAAATGTTACAATAATAATTTCGAAATAATTTTAAAATCAAGTCTGAGATTGAGAAACAATTCAAATTAAATAAGATTATGTGCTTTAAATATCTGCGCGCTACGCGGCAAATTCTTCTGAGCGGTATCATTTTTCACCCTGAGGAAGCTGCTAACTACAGGTGCCTGCTAGGTGGATTGAGTAGCTTGGCAGCCCACTGCCGGCCCCAAGAGCGGATAGAGAAGGTGCGTTCCTGAGTGAAGTTAGCAGCTTCCTCAGGGTGAAAAATGATACCGCTCAGAAGAATTTGCCTTGAATCAATCCTATATGTATGACAACTCTGGCAAGAGAAAGGATTACGAATTGGAAAAGGAAAACATTACATGGATTGGAAAATGGCATGTAAGATCACGAAATATGTATATATATATATACATATTTCGTGATCACATAATTAATCACATAATTATTTTATGTGATTAATACTAAATTGATTTTGTTTGATATGTTTTAAATTCGAATTGAATTAGCAATGAAGGTCATAAGTATATAACTGGCTCTTTTTAAGATGTGAAGGGATATTTCTATTTATTGCTGTGTGAAAATATAACGATAGACTACTGATTGGCATGTGCTTTGGGATGGGACTCTGGCAGATGCTGCAGCAGAACGATTTTGTGTGATTTCTATTGTTTTTAATTTCTCAGAATCTTGTCGGTGTCCCCCACTTTGAAACTTACCACCCTTATGAAGCACACTTCAGAGAATACTACAGTATTTTTTCAAATTTTTAAATTGCCGAGTTAACGAAGAAACATAGAAAAAGAAAAAGAAAACAAGTCATAAAATGCATTTTAATACATTTAATGAATTCAATATGATCTTCATGTTTGCCTTCAATTGTGTCTCAAACCACATTTTGTCCTTTTTTGTTCTTGAATTGTTCTTGAATGTATGTTGTTAAAAATTGTTAATACATTGTTGTGTCAATTGTGAATACATTGTTAAAACTGTTTTAATAGCTGGTTTTTAATTTTATCAATTGGAAGGTGGCCTTTTTCTTAATTTTACAAGACTAGATTGAATATATAAAAACTGAGAGTTATTATAATAAAAATTATTAAAAAAGAAGCATAATACATTTTCCAAGAACAATTTTTTTAAAAGGTACTAAATTGAATATTTTCAGGAAGTCGTAACTTAACACATTTCGTACTGAAGATTGTCATTAATCATTACTAGGTATTGGCTTTTTATGCAATTGAATATTTCTTTTGCTTAGTTGCAAATGCCCGGAGGTTGGTTTATTTTCCAAATAAAAGTCCCTAGATACTTATTGTGAAGTTTTATTTTTATATATGAAGTATACTGGATACAATGGCATGTTTCAGTGTTATGCTAGATTATGTTGCATATTTTACAATCAATAATGCTTAAAATTGTCAATTTCAAGGATGATTTTTTATTTCCCTCATTTGGCTTGTTTCTCCTGTAGAGGAAAATCTGATGAGAGTGAATATTAGGTTATTCAGATTATTACATCACTTGAATTAATTTCTTTTTCTTTTATCCCCTTGAGTAGTATACCCTGTAAGCAAAGGAACAATTTGCGGAATTGAGTAACAATAATATAAACTAATGCTGCTTTTAATCACAACCCTGCTTCCTGTTTAACTGGAATTTGGGAATTTGTACTGCCATTACATTGATTGAGGCATGAATATATCAGTTGAAAAATCCTGAAAAAGTGACACAAACAATAATTTAACAAAAAACTAAATTATTTGCTCCTTGCAGGTGAGAAGTGGTGAATAGGGATTGGATTATATGCAAGTTGCATAAGCTTTCATATTTTGCATATTTTTTAGATAATTGCATATTTTTAACAATTTGGAATATGCCGTACTACTACTTTATTACTGTTACCTTTCTGTATGCCTTACTAGTGTTATATTACTACTGCTTAAAGAAATCAGACAAAATGCAAGGAAGATTTCTTAGAAGTAAGTCGTTTTTGTTTGTTTCATTCTTCGAACACCAAAACTATCTTCGAGAAATGACAAGACCAGATAATTCCATCTATTGAATTCTTGCAACAAGAACAATGTGTAGATTCAAGTAGGTTACACCAAGAAGGATAAGGCATTTTTAATCCATATTTCCTGAAGTTTTATTTCTTGCATGTAATTTGGCATAAATCTCAATTTCCCATGCATATTTTAGAGAGAAAAAAAACTGCATGTATACATACATATTTTTTTAAAAAAACAAAACACTTGCATATAATCAGCTCTCCAGTGATAAAGTAGTTGTGAAATCATGTCAAAGTATATATTGAATTTTTTTGTGTCATCTTAGCTGTCCGAGTAACATTGTGTCGAAGGCTGTGTTGCTGACGTTTCGACCATCTTGTCGTGGTCTTCCCGGACAGCTAAGATCACGCACATAACTCTGGCCATGGAAGCCTACGACTTTATATTAAATTTTGTAATTTTCTTCGCACAGCTATTCATTAACCTTCTGGGTATTACTTTCTATGAATTTTAAATCTCAAGGGTTATGAAAACAGAAGATTGTTTTCATGTATAAGTACTAATATTTATTTTACATTTATTTTCAGTTTGCAATGATTCTCTCACGCACAGCAAAAAGGGAAGAACTGTGATGACGGAATTAGAACGTTATGAAGGTGTTCGACACTGTCGCTATGTGGATGAAGTTGTTCGAGATGCACCTTGGGAGCTTGATGATGACTTTCTTGAAAAACACAAGGTTCCTAATTCTTTTTTAATAATACAATTAATGTAAATGCTTAGTATTAAATTCATCTGTTTGTTTTTAATGACTCCTCTTCTTGTGAAAATAACACCAATAGCTTTCAACTATACATCTGGTATGCCCCAATGAAGATGATGTTTCCTAAAAGAATTATTGCTTTTTCTTACTACTTCCTCCCTGCTGGCCAATCACAAAGTGTGATACTTGAATCATAGGAGGTGGTGTACTTAAAGTATGAGTCTCATTCAAATAATATTAATATTTGCTGCATTCTGAAACATTTTTGGAGGTAATCTCATTTTTGTAATACTTTTATTAAATATCACTTATGTATCAGAAATTTTGAAGCACTTGTGGTATTACCTATAATAATTTGTATCATTTATAATATTATGGTTTTCATTCTGCCATTGGGCAACATCTACTCAATTGTAGAATAAAGCTTCTATCTATATGCCCCGAAGTTTGGAAGCTAAATCTTAGTGTATATACTGCCCTCTAGAATGTTGTGCGAATCACTCACATGACAGTGAATTATTAGCACAACATGCAAGAACATAGCATATATGCTAAGCTTCAGCTTTCAAACTATTGAGATTATGTGAACTCTAATGTTTCTTTGGACAAATATCAGAATAAAATATACTAAGGGTTTGAAATTTAAATAGAATTTAACATAGGGTATCATCTGAATATAACCTTATTTTGTAATGTGCAAAATTACACAAAGTACCTTTATTTTCAGAAAATTGTTCTTGACCTTGTTTCAAAATCTATTTAGAAGTAACAGATTTTGTTAAAGGGAAAAAATCTGTACCTTTAATATTTAAGTTATTGGAAGACTCCGACAAAAGTTCAGCAATTTTCGAAAAATTGGGATTTTTAATGAACGTTAGACCTGCACCATTTTCTTTAAAGTCATTCACGCTATCTTGCAACAAAATTTACTCAAAAAGAATGGAACCAGTTCTTTTAAAAATAATTTATTTTATTATCATCATTATTATTATTATTATTATTATTATTATTATTATTATTATTATTATTATTATTATTATTATTTTAATTTGGAAAATGTTCAGAAATGCCATGTAAAGTACCTTCCAAAATTAAAATATTGGTTTCAAATTCAAGTGGCCGTGACATCAACTAAATCGATTGAGGAATATGAATTTTGGAAGAAATTGGCTGAACAGTTTAGTTGCTAGCGATGTTCACAGAGAAAGGACGGATGGACAGACATTTTCCAAATCGTAGAGACCCCTGTCCACTCATTTGACACTCAAAAAATTGGATCGTTCTACATATTTTAAAAATGTATTGAAATATTTCTCTGAAACAAACCTTTAGAACTGGCTGCCATATAGTTTACACAGTTGCCTATAAAGAACAATTGGAATTCACAGGCACTCATATATCTTGCTCCTCCAACCAAGTCTGACAGATAGTACTATTATCATGATTATTAATATGCAATATACTGAGTACAAAACACTCGCACACTTATTATCCATAAAATAATACTGCGAACAATGACCAGCACTCATAAGCTGGAGTCTTGCAAACCCTTGTTCAATAAACTAAAGATTCTTCCTCTAAGGTGCTTGTATATCTTTCAAATAGTGGTCTTCACAAAGAAGATTCTCATGGAAAACAAAGACACTTTAACTCTAAATTCTGATGCACACAACTACAACACTTGTCAAAAGGATAACCAACATGTTCCCCGCTCTGAAACTACATTTTGTCAAAAAAGTACCCTAATAGAGAACATTACACTTCACAACAAACAGGGTAATGATATTAAAGACGTAAACACAATTCATACATTTAAAAGTAAATTGAAAGCTTTGCTGCTTAACAACATGTTCTACTGTGTGAGGGAATTTTCCAATCACAACAATCCTTCCATTAAAAATAAATAAGACTTCTTATCCCATTTGACTTTCTATTTCATGTTGACTGTTTCAAGCTGAAGGAAAGAAAAAAGAACTGGCATATCACATCCTGCAATGTAGAAGTAGAATGCTTGACAAAAATTTCTGTTTCCTTCACCCTGGATTTGCTAGATGCATTAGGTGCTGCATTAGGACTAGGTGTACAAAAAACACAAAAAGAAAACAACAACACAAAACAAAACTGGCCAAAACTTGTCTCCTACTCCTCACCATTTCAAGATTTTAACTTGGAATGTACTAAAATTGTTTAGTTTTATGTAGTTGTTACCATAATTTAAATTGTGTACTATTTTCATACTATTATTAATTATAATAATAATATTATTATTATAAATAGTAGCAGTAAAATGACAATAACAAATAAATTTTACTTTTACTTTAAACATGAAACTATAAATCTTGAAATGTTAAATTATTTGCTACTAAAAATAATTATCTACTGTATAACATCTTAATCTATCTGTAGCAAGTATTGCAATATAATTCCTAAGCCAATGACCCTATCTCGATCTGTGGATTGGAAGAAGTGGAGTGGGTGAACGAGGCATGGAGGCCGGAGGAGGGAGAGGAGAGGTTAAGAGAGGTGTGGAGGCAGGTGAAGGATGTGGAAGGGGGAGGTGAGCTGTGGGGGTGGGAGAAGGAAGTGGTGGGAATAAGAGAGGACTGGAGGCTGGTACAAGACGGGTGTGGAAGGAGAGGAGGAAGAATGGGTGGAAAGATTGATTGTGGGATGGCAGGAGTGCAGGGGTCTGCAGTTGGGATGAGATGAGCGGAGCGGAGCTCCTAGTTTTTGTTTTCCTATCTGGTACAGTGTTTGCCAATCGCACGAAATGTGCATATTAACAGTGTGAGAGAGATTTGAAAAAAAATTATTTTTGTGTAATTTTTGAAAAAAAAAAAATACCCCCAAATAAACTTTATATCTTATTAATCAGTGCAATTACAACTATCCATTGGAAAAGTTTGGAGAAAAAATTTGGAGCAATTTTGTGACAAAATGACATTTGAGCATTTCTGAAGATGGGGAATTTTGACCTTCGTTTGTTAGAAAACTGTTAAGTTTTTGAGAAACTTTATACTTATATTTAATAATTAATACTAATTTATATTTAAAGCACATGTACTCATAAATACAGTAATGTGAACAAATAGCCGCTTATGTAAATATTAACAATGTAAGAGACGAGTTGAAAAAAATAAATGTCTGTAATTTTTTAAACAAAAGATTATGGCAATATGACGTTTTGTCTTCTTATAGAATACATGTAGCATTATCCCTACCATATATTTAAAGAAAAACTTTTCCATTTTTTCGAGAATTTTGTTATTATTTAATAATCCACATATTGCATGAAAATTACTAAAATTTTCAAATGCGCAGGACCTTAATGAAAGAAATAAAATGGAGAAAAAATTTTATTTGAGGGAAAAATCTCTGTAGGAAGACTCCAGAAAAATTTCAAACTTTTGAAAATTTCAAAAATTCAGAATTAACAGAAAAAAGGATCTATATCATCATTATAAATGTATTTTAACTTATTCTTTCAAAAAATTTAAAGAAAAAAATTGGAGCCTTTTTTGAGAAAATTTTGAAAATGTCCCTGGGGTTTCATGTAAAGTACCCCCAAATTTTAAAGAAAGATTTTTTTACAGTTGCAACGACTCGAGTTGAGGCAGATCAATCGGAGATTTTCCATTTTGGAAAAAATCCTATGTATGGTTTAGGCAATAGTGGTGTTCACAGACAGACAGACGTTTTGGGAAGAAAACAACACTTTTTGGCCATCAGGGTACCCCAAAATATATATTTGTGTTGAAATCGTGAAATTGATTTTCATCGGTGTTCCATAACTTTCTCTATACTATGTATATTACTCCCTATATATGTACATTTACGAGAAAGTGAAAATATAGCTTATGGTGAAGGACTGATGAGATTTAGGCTTCTGACTCTTGCTTCTTGAAGACAAGGTGGTGTCATGATTGAAACATTCAAGATCTTACATTAGTATTACAACTCTGACTTTAACATTTTTCCTCTCTTTGAAAATTTGCAACTAAGAGGGCATAATATAAATTATATGAAAGCTAGGCACATCCAAAACTTCTTGAGAAACTGAGTTGTTGGTACCTGAAATATTATAACCAAAAGTGAAGTATCAGCGCAACATAAGTGAATAAATGAATGAATGAATGAATGCAAATAAATGAATAAATAAACAATTAAATAAATAAAAAGTAAATGAATGAATAAATAAATAATTAAATAAAAAAGAGAGAAACAAACAAACAAGTAAATATCAGAGTAACATATTAATTTGGTTTCAGGACCAAGTGTTCTTCAATATGGAGCAGTGTACAAACTGAGGCCTTTTACTGCAGCTAGCCCCTTTGATTCACTGCTTCTTCAATCATACTTTATTTCATTTTCATTCCCAGAATCTAAAATGTATTCTTAATTTGCAGATTGATTTTGTTGCACATGATGAAATACCATACATGACTGAAGATGGAACTGATGTATATGCAAGACTTAAAGCTAAGGGAATGTTTGTGGCAACTGAACGAACAGAGGGAGTGTCTACATCAGACATAGTAGCAAGAATTGTTCGGGATTATGATATCTATGTGCGAAGAAATCTTGCCAGAGGATATAGTGCAAAGGATTTGAATGTGTCTTTCCTGAATGTATGTAAAAACTTTATTAGTAATAAAAATATTTTCTATTTTGTACAATATTCTTTTTGATCTTATTGTTATTTTAGGAGAAGAAATTCCGCCTACAAAATAAAATGGATGAACTGAAAGATAAAGGAAAGCGAGTAATGGAAAATATTGGTGAAAAAAAAGTAGATATGATACAGAAGTGGGAAGAAAAGTCACGGGATTTTATTGACGCTTTTCTTCTCTTATTTGGACGTGAAGGTCGGCTGGTAAGAAGTTTTCTGTGTACGTGGAATTGATATTTCTTTGTGTAACATTTAAATGCATTGTTAATTGATAATATGAATTTGTTTAGTCACATATTTGGAATGAGGGAAAAGGGCGTCTTATGCAAGCTCTGTCTCCACCAGCCAGTCCTCATAGAGATGGTAGTCCAACGTCTAGTACAAGTAATCATGACGGTGATGATTTAGCAAGGTAGGTAAAATTTAGTGTTGTAACCAAACAAGATTATTGTTGTATATTTTGAGGTTGCACTTTACCAAATTTCACCAAATTGCCTTGTGTGAAGAAATCTCTGAAGGGACAGTGTATTAAAGGTTGAAGAGAGTCCCTATTGTTATTCACACCATGGAAAAACACCTACTTGACCTTGCTTACTACCCATGAGCCTGCTGCTCAAACCTACTGAATTTGTACCTGAATCATAGTCTGAGGTCACTTGAGGGCAACAAGGATACACAACATTAATCGCAACTCATGATCCACTTCATTTTTATCAATAGGTCTTTTAAAAAGCTGAAAGAGGAATTTTCATCCCAAAGTAGTCTTATCTGGTAGTTCCTTCAAGGAACTACTGTAGACCAATGACTATGACACCTGTATATAATACACTAAAAAAAGATTATACTTTTGTACAATTTATTAGATGCTAGTGACACAAAACACCTTTAATGTGTCACCGTAGAATGCATCCCTCCTCCCAGGAGTACATCAAACAGATTTAAGAAGAAAAATGTGGTATGTTGTAGATTACACTGTAAGAAATGTGCTGACATAACACATGCTATACACAACACATGTTATGCTGAAACATGTTTCTATCACTTTCTAAAGTGGTGTGTCCTAGTTTTTTGAGTGCTGAGGGGGCTTGAAGTTTAACAATTATAATTTTTGTAATTTCATTATTTAAATTAAAAATAGCTTCTTCTTCATTTCATGTATTAGTCAGGGCTGCCTGTTCCGGAATCCATCTTCTTATCAGGCAACCGATATTTCTTTGACCAGCTGGTTTGTGGTCTCTGCCAGTCGAGGGATTTGGCTTCTGCACATTTGCTACCGATAATTGCAATAGTTCATTTTATTGTTACTGATCTTCTTCTCAAGACTTAATATCTGTAACTCTTCACATATTTCTTCTCTCCTAATTTTGTCATCTAGAGTACACCCTTGTACAGCTCTAAGAAATCTCATTTCTGTGGCTCTCACTCTTTGTTTCTCTTTTCAAGAGAGTCTAGGTTTCTGCTTGCTTATAACCCTACTGGTACTGCAATCGTCTCAAAGAACTTAAGTCTGTTTTCTTTTCTTGTTTTATGTTTCTGTGTTCTGTGAATTGTCCCACAAATATGTTTAAACCTGTTTAATTTGTTTGTGACATTGTCGTCAAATACTAAAAACACTTCACATCCCAAGAAATTATAACTGGACACTTGCTCTACAGTCCTCCCATTCAATACTATTTTTGATCTGACAGAATATTTTCCTTGAAAAGCCATCACATTAGTAGATATTGTAAAATTATAATCATCAGCAATTGGCTGATGCCTGCATAATTGTAAGTTTCCTGTTATCTTTCTTAAATAAAGGGATTACTTTGAACTTGAACCAGTTTTGTAGAATTTTACCCTTTTTATCTGCTGCACTTAGACAAATGTAGCAATCTCAGCTGTAGAAGCATTCTGCCCTATTTCCAACATTCAGCACTTATTTTATCTAATCCTGTTGCTATCCTATTCTGTTACCTCCTCTATTGAGATGATGTTCAAAACATGTGTACTAATATGGAATGGTACTTCTGGAGATTCCACATACCACAAATTGTTTGTAGTGATCTGTCCATACTTCATCGTTAATAACATCCAACCTCACCAGGTCGCTCTTATCGCTGCACAATGTTTTGAGGACTTTGTATGCAAAGGTTTGTTAGCCGTGTAAGTCATTTTCAATATTTGAGATAAATATTCCAAGACTCCTGATGGCTTTTCCTTCCTCTTTGTAAAATTTTGTCTTTGCCCGTACACATCTTAATTTTTTTCTCTTTGATTATTAAGATATTTCCTGTACGAATTAATTAAAAATAGACAATTATGAAATTCCACATTAATTATTTCAACAATACCTATTTGTAATAAATATTAAATGGAATTTCATTTAAACTACTCCCAAAATGAACACTCCTCCAAATGAACTCAACTTTAATTAGTATGGCTCTGAACTATGCATTACATTACACCATGTGTGGGTAAACACTCTAATACTGCTAAGCATTTATTAACCAACAGAAAGACTTCCCCAAACAATTAAATGCACAGAACATAAAATAGTCAAGTTAATTTTTTCAAGATTTCAAGATTCTGCACCTTAATGACATGCTGTGTTAATGAGAGTGACTACCCAGTAGAGACATAAAATAATGTAATAGAAGGTTCCGAAGGTCTCATATTATGAAAGACAAGATGCTGCATGTTATCATTACAGTTAATGTAAATCTCAAATTTGACTGGGTGGTATAAATGTACATGTAAGCTTCCTTGGCTCGAGTTCATGAGTTCTTGGCTGTCCGGATGACGCCACGTCGTTGGCTGAGAGGCCGACGTTTTTGGCCTGTCATTCTGCAGGCTTCCTCAGGGTAGTGAAAAGTCGTAATTTGTTCACTTTCAATTTCAGGCATATTACCCTTTTTGTAAATCGGTCTCACAATACTAATTTTTAGAATATCTGGAAATATACACACATTTAATGTACTATTTATTAAGTGCTCGAAAACATCAGTTAATGAGTTTTTGCATGTTTTTAATATAATTGCTGGTATCTTGCCCCAGCCTGCCAATCTATTGTTACAAAGTGTGTTGATATGTTTTTCTATTTCTCTTACTTCTGTATTATTTAGATAGATTGTTTTGTTTATACAGTAATTTGTATATTCTATGGAAGAATTGTCTGTAACACATCCTATGTATAAGAAGTTCTCATTGAAAGCTTTGCAGATGTTCTGGGGATTATTTATCAGTTTGTTATCATGTTGCAATTGTATATTCCTGTGTTTACTAGTTTGATTCTTATTTTCATTTATTATATTCCCCATAGCTTTAATTTTGTGTGGTGAATTGTTTATTCGTTGATTTAGCCTGCTTGCCTTTAGGTTCCTCAGTTCTTTTCTAAATTCCTTCTTGTATTTTTTATGTGATTCTTTATGTGACTAGATTTGAGTTTTAAATTGTAAATGCATTTCTTTAATTTTTTCTCTTAGTTGAGCAATTGTATGCAGTAGTTTAACTTTTCTACTTGTTTGTAAGTTTGTTGGTCTTTTCTTAATAGGGCACTTGAAAATTAAATATTCATTTAATATGTTTATAAATGAATTCCATTTGTTGTTTGATTCTTGTTTCGTGTAGACTTTGGCCCAGTTTTCACCTTTTAATACTTCATTGTGTTGCAGTATGTTTCTATTTTGTACATGATTATATTACTTTTTCTATGTTTAAAATTTGTCAATTGTGATCTGTGATATTAAAATCTAGATTACATGCTGGATTGTGATTTTGATTGTAATTGGTTATGATGTGGCCCATGGCAGTGTTGGAGTGTTCTGTAATTCTTGTTGGTCGTACTTTTATATCTTGCATATTAAATCCGTTAGGCAAATCTTCAAGGTAATTATTATATCAATATTTAGATCTCCTAGAATAATGATTTTATAATTACTTTTACTCAATCTTTTTAATATCTCTTCTAATTTTATTATAAATTCATTAGCGTACTCTAGTTTTTTAACTGTTTAATTTCTTCACATTCAAAGTTTGTTTGATGTATATTGCCACTCCTCCACCCTTATGCTACTCTGTAATAGTATGTTACTAAACAGTAGTTATCAGTCTTATGTGTTGTGATTTCACAATTTTTCAGACCATGTTTAGTAACGGTGACTTGTGTGTCAATATCATCCAAAAGTGTTTTTAGTTGTTCATTTTTGTTTTGTAATATATTGTACATTTCAATGAAATATTGTAAGAGTTCTTACTTCTATTCTCTTATCTCTTAATTCTACCACAGGATGTATCTAGTTTTCCTTCTCTACTGCTTTAAAATTAGGACATTTGCCCATTTTATCATAATATATTACAGGATTCTTCGTGTTTTCAACGTGGTTAATTGTATTGTTTAACATTTTAGTTACATACTCTTTTCCTTTATTGTTTATATGCTGCCCAGCCATATACCATATGCCATGCAAATCCCATAGCAAGTATGAAAATCTTTCTAATTTACTTAGTTCTAAAACAGTTACATTTGTGTAATTAGCACATAATTATTTCAGTTTTTAATGTTTTTTCTAATTTCTGCATTTACACAAGTTTTTATTAAGTTGTACCTGTGGGGGAAGTCCTACACTAACATACGTTTCATTATTTTGTTCCTGTTGCACATTCTTTGATTCAGATATGGCATTTTCAGCTTCATTACATGCTATATCATGTGACTCAGCTACAATTTACTTTCACACTAGCTTAATTATTTGTGATTTCCGAGAGAGCGTTTTTTGTCTTGCCACTAGGTTTTAGTTCCCATATCTCACTGTCACATAGTTTGTTTTTTAACATACAATGTAGGCTTTCACGGTCGGTTTCCACATCAAAATCAGTTGTTTCCGGGCTTGAAGGCTGTGGTCCAATGGAGACTTGTCCATACGTTTCACCTGCAACTGTGGCAGGCATCATTAGTGGCGTTGCTGGCGGGGGCGAAGTGTCCTGGCTGCGTATAGCGTGTGCGGCTCGTATTCATAGTGAAAGGCGAGGTAGTGTAGCGACATAGTATTCATAGTGAAACTTCGCCTTTCATTATGAATACAAGCCCCAGAACCGCGGGAGCGTCAGTCAACGCTGCCCTGCCAACAAGGACACTTCGCCCCCGCCAGCAACGCCACTGATGATGCCTGCCACAGTTGCAGTCGAAACGTATGGACAAGTCTCCATTGGACCACGGCCTTCAAGCCCGGAAACAACTAATTTTGAAGTTTGTTTTTTGTTATTTAACAGCTAGTCCTTTAGCATATGTCACCATAAATTGACACTGTATGACTTTATCCTTTTGCCTTCGGCTTGGAATTTTTATGCCTAATCGTACAATGTTTCGTATTCTTATTTCTATGCTCTACACTTTCTTTATCATCAAGTTCTTCATAGTAATTACTTGATGATAGGTCAAAACTGCTATTGTGATTTGTTACATTGTAAGATTTATTCTTTTGTTTTCCCCAATCACTCCCTTTATGCATGTTCACTCCTTTTTTTTAGCCGCTGAATGTGCTTCGTTGTGCAGATATCCATTTTCTTCTTTTAGTGCTATAGTTTCTTTTTGAGTATTATTAAAATTTGTTGTAAGTTTGCAACTGTCTCATTTAATTCATCTTGTCCTTCATGATTACATAATCAAATAAAATGATATCACAAGATACACAAGACTGTTCATTTTAGTGCTTTTTTAAGTTCAGTTCTTTTTTATTTTTTTATAACACTTGCCTTCTCAGCTGTCTTACCTCTATTTGGCTGACTGATATTAATTTGATACTAACGCTTCTTTTCAACAATACTTTGTGCAGATTAGCTGACTTTAAAAGAAGTCAAAAAATTTGTTCCCAAGAGCATTGTATAAAGGGTTTCTCTATTACACATTCCTTTGTTGAAGAATAGAAACATTATTCCATTGGCCAAAGAGTTCTTTGCTACGTGATATGTTCTATTTCTACCAGGATCTTAATTTTTGTTTGTTTTGTTTTCAAAGCCCACCACCACCAAAGGCTGGACGTTTTGAATTTTCTCCTGTTTCATCAAAAAGAAATATGCAGTGTACAAGCAGTACGGCTGAAGAATATTCAGACGATGAAGATGATGAGCGACAGTCAAAGTGAAGTTCCTCCATGCTACGGAACATGAGTTGTGAGAACATCGGCTTTTTGCAATTGCAAGTGCTACAGAAGAATGATCTCCAACTCTAAAATGAATACATAGCAATGTCTGATATAGAGCTCAATTACATAAAGGTCACACACAAAAAGAAATCATATTTTTATCTCAATTCTTTTCATGTAAACTGATAAACGTCGTAAGTGCTGGATGCTTCGTTTTGTAAGTATGTAATGAAACTGTCGTAAAACTTTTCATAAATTATTCATTAATTTTTCTTTTTGTATACTGAAAAGGAAATTCGTGTTTGAATTTTATTTTGTAATATTATTTGTTCCCCAAAAGCGATATGTTTTTTATTAGAGCTTTAGATTACTATATCATTGATTTGACATATATTTCATTGATTGAAGTCAAAATGTGTGATTTACTTTTTATCTTTCTTTGAAAGAAGGTTTTAGCTTTCTTGCAACAGCTGAATTTTCATTTCATTTATCTTGCAATATATATGTAGAAATACTAATGAGTAACTACAACAAAAATTTGTTTAATAGTGAAATTTTTCAGTGTGTTGCAAGCGACTGATTATTTGTAATGTTTGGTGACTGGTGGCAGAATAATGTGAACATTTAATGTTTGAGTTGTGAAATATGGAAGTTGATTAGTGCAGTACAGTAACTGAACATGATAGAAACAAGATCATTAGAAAAATGGGTAAAGAATTTACTGCACAAAATATGGGTAATTTTTATTTGAAGAATTATGGAACTTTGGTAAAGGTAGGTGAGATTGTTTTGTAAATGACGTGATTTTTGCTTGTTTGACTTTTACTTTTGGTAAAAACGAAATAATGAAGACTCAGTCTTAATAAAACATAGACTTTAGGAGTAGACATTCCAAATATATATTGTTATGTATAGTAAACATTTTCTGTGAGACTTCTGCTTCTGGCTTTGACATTTAATATTGACAAGGAATTTTCTTACAGTACTGATGGATTTTCAATACATATTCATAAATGTATATTTGGGCAACACAGTGATGCAATATACTATATCATATTATGTTTCTTTGTTAAATTTAACAGATGTACAGATGTTAACATTTTCTTAATCTAATATGAAATGTTAAAGCAAATCAACCATGCCACTTGTTTCAGATTGTTGTATCTTCATTTAGTTTCTTTTTTTCTTGATTAGGAAAATAGTCAATCCCCTTTAACAGAAGCACTTTAAAGTTAATGAAGGATATACTATTGTTATTTATTACTTCGAGAGATTTAATTTGTGAAGCTCAGTTCATATGTTCAGATTTATGCAATAGACTTGTGATTATCTGAGTCCTGGTAAACTGAGGAAGTCATCATGAAAATTACATCGAAAAGCAGAACATGGAAGTGTATAAATTATCTACTGTAGTTATAAAATACGTGAGTACTTAGTCATGCCATCACCAATTGGATTCTCTTCTCAAACTTTGTTTGTCTTTACCATTCAGTTCTAGTTGTCTCTTTGTGACTGCAGTAAGTTTGTTTATTCATTTATATGGTGTACTGTAATTTATTTATTTATTTTTTTGCATCTCAACAGGCAATTGCCCAACATTACAGGTTTATATAATATTTATAATTTGATACTAAAAATAACAAATATATAAAAATTAATTTTGTTATTTGTTTTGATTTTTTAAATAAACTGTGGATCATACAAGGATTTTTGAATCCAAGGTCCTCAGATAATTGCAAGTCTTGTGTCCATTTTGATTTCAAAGGTTTTTTTTTTAATGAAGTGCAAGGCATCGAAATTAATCAACTTGCAAGGGAAGAAGAGAGTTTTTGTTTTAATTGTGAAATATGTTAATGTGGTGTGCATACAAATTTTGTATAGATTTTTAATAATTTAAAAAACATGGAATTTTTTGCACTGAAAATAGAATATTAGAAAATCATATCATTCATCAGTAATAAGCTGATTCATGAGTTATTGGTGCAGTAGCAACAATTTGAGTTACTATGATTAAAAAATTCTTGATTAAAGAAGCATATTCATTATTCAATAACACTGGCCTGAGAGCATTTTGCAGAGTGATATTGTACAGGTGATTAAGCCTAATTTTGATGTGCTGAATTAAAATCTCCAAACCATTTTTATATCCTTTTTTCCAATGTAGACTGAAATTTTTCTATTTCATAGAAATTGCTAATTTGTTACTTTGCTGCCTATGCTTTTAAATGCTTGGAATAATGTAGGGCTTAACCAAATCAGCCAATTCTTAACTTTTGAAAGCTAATTGTAAACTGTAAAAAACTAAATATGCTGTAGGAAAATATTTTTTTTTGTTCTGTTTGTTGAAAATAAATTTTGCATTTTGTGCAAAGTGTCCGTCCACTGTTATTTTTGTCAATGGTAAATATCAGGGTTCAATAATAATAATAATAATAATTATAATAATTAATTAATTATAATAATAATTATTATAATAATAATAATAATTATTATTATTATTATTATTATTATTATTATTATTATTATTATTATTATTATTATTATACCATTTTAAAACCAAACCTAGCTGCCGCTAGGTGAATGTGCTGCATTGACCTGATATTCCCTGGCAATATTATAAGTGGAGTTAGGGTGTGTCAATCAATGAAAAGATAACATATTTTCCTATTGTATATAAGATTTTTACAATCTTTATATACGAGAATGGATGAATGTGGATGTTTGTGTGCTTGTGCATGTGTTTATTCTACAATAACTTATGAACCTGTATTGCTTTTGAATGTAAACTTTTAGAATCTGAGAAATAAATATTGGAAGGTTAGCAATTAAATGCTGTTTCACGAAATTTGGTTACATCTCATAAACCTCACCATTGCCACCTGGCGATGTAGGATAGGACGAGGCAGGAGTGACTTTGATGAGGCTTGAGGGTGAGCAGAGCTGCTAAGTAGATTATTGTGATAAATGAATGCCCTTGCAACTTGGGTAATTTGCTAGCTTACTAAAAGTAGATATGGTAGATTTCAACAACTGCTAAAAATGTAAAATGTTACCAAACACTAGAAAAATTAGTAAATTTAATTGTCAGTGCAGTACATTTCTGAAGGTCTTCAATCTGTGATAAAATGCAAAATCGTGTACAAAGTGCACAATGGACGTGAATCTGTGAAATAATTGCTAAGATGCATTTTATGGTTTCCTTCATGTCTGCTCTCTAACTAGGAATGCAACGGTGACAACATCACATTAATGCTTGAAAACTTTTAATTTGAGAATGTTCATGTTTATTGATTTATAGTTAATATTTACCTAACAAAAAACTATAATAATAATAATAATAATAATAATAATAAGAATAAGAATAAGAATAGTAATAATAACAACAACAAAAATAAATTTAAAAGATCGTGAAAACCTGAGCGCTAGGGTCATCTTAAGAGGTCTCAGCTTTCTCAGTTCGCTGTATGGAGAAGGTTACAGGAAGAGGAGGAAGACCCTACACATACATGCCTGCCCTGCAGCTACAGCGCATGCATTACTTCTTACACTTTTTACGCTTCTCATACTTTTATATTTGCTGAAGTTCACATATGAGTTGTTCCATGTCAAATTGAACATCTTTTGACCTTAGGTGTTCAACATTGATAGGAACTTCTTGAATACCCTTAAATGATTTCATTAGTATTTAACCTAATTATTTTGGAATTTATGCCTCTTGAATTTTTTTCTGAAAAAGCTCACACACCAACAAATAAAAATGCTTACTGTTACATTGATAATACAGAACTAAGATTAGGCTCAAATACAAGTGCAAAAACAGTTATTCAAGACAATTTATAGTTTGGTTAAATTGTTAAATATCAATAATTCCTTAAATCTCAATTAATTATAAATATTTCATTTGTACAAATTTAGCAAAAATAAAATTCATTTTAAAAATATTATTTTATTCCCAGTTTAATGATCTTCAAATGTGCAAATTTTAAAATTGGGATATTTATAAAAAACGTAATTAAAAATATTAATTGAATCCAAGCACAGCCACATATTGTGTTGTGGGGATGTTTTACTTCTTCGAACAGTGGGAATTGAAACGTGGAGTCTGCATAATCTTAAAACCTTTTTAAATGCCTAAGCACAACTACAGTTATTTCTAGCCTGTAGCTTTGGAAGATTGTTTTGCTTTTTTTCGTTTGTTATTGGTAACCTCTGAAAATCGAAGCCTTCATTCTGTCATTGGCTGACCCAGCACGGGCAATTCATAGGACTGTACCAGGTGTAAACAAAGAGGCCCTACTTTGAAATTCAAATGAGCACTCTTGTTGAGGTTTCTCCCAGTATTTGTTTAACTTTTTCACTACAGCAGCATCAGGATGAGGCACCTACTGCACTGTCCGGCTACTCAAATTTTACTGTAGTGGGCTGTGTCTATGTGCAACAAGTGTGAACTGTGTTTACTGCTGGTTTTACATAATTTGTGTTAGACTGTTAACACAATGGGTAATATCGAACACCCAAGACATGCCTTTCATTCAGTCTCAAAAATCTCTGCGATAGAAATAAGAAGAAAAACTTTCGGCATGTGACATCCTAATCCATCAATATTCAAAATTCAATTCAAGGAGCATATTGGAATAAAAACCCAGGTCACACTTAACACTTTTGTTTTATGTTTCAAATATAATAGTCATCTAAAGCATAAAAATGTAAAAACAATTTTTGAAAACCTGAAGCATGGTACAAATGCAGTTTTCTTCTTCCTGGAACATTTGATTGAATTTCTAAAGGTTAAAGTAGATAATGTCAAAAAAGTAATTTATTTTTCAGATGAAGAAAGTACACAATATAAAAACCCCAAAAAGTTTGTTATTTTATGTTTTCACGAAAAAAGATTTTGGTGTGAATTCTGAATGGCATATCTTGGCTACTTCTCATGGGAAAAGGCCTAGTTATGGAATTGGTGACACCACCAAAAGATTGACTATACAAGAAAATCTGCAGCCATTTCATGATCCAATTATGACACCATTGAAACTATTCGAATGGGCAAAAAAATGTTAGTGGTATGCACTTTACGTTTTTGACGATTGATAACCAGAAAAAAGAATGTGACTTACTGAAATACCGGCCTGTAAAAGTGAAACTACTCTGAGAGATAGCTCAGGGCATCCACAGACGTCATTGCAGTCCCTCTGACCAGGAGGTTCTAGGTTGGAGTCCTGACTGGCAGGATTTTTGACACTTGCTTGTCAGCTAGGTCGGATTCAGTCGCGGTCTGGAGGAGAATTCTAGTGGTCGCCAGCTCTGATCAGTGGCTTTCCATTGTTTCTTCCACGAACAACACGTGAATGCCGGAGCAGTACCCTACAAAACCAACCAGTGACCATGCATGATCTTTCCTATCTCTTCCATGTTCTATCCTCTCCCCTTACACACACACAAACACGCGCTACAAAATCACACATGCCAGGAGACTGGTCAGGATCATGGAGCTTGTCCCAGTTGGGACGGTGCCCTGCTGGTGGGAGATACCTGGTTGGGGAAGCTAGCTGACAGTATGTTGGCGCCGGATTTCTCTGTACAGTGAGGGTAATGTCATCTCCATCTCCTGTGCAAAAACGTGCATTGTGCTTTCGGGGCTAATGACCCTGGTAGTTGACGTGCCTGAAATCACAAAATCAATCGATCAGTCATAATCAAAAGTTAAACTAGTTATACAGAAATATACTTTTAGGATCTATAATTTTATTAACTTTTGTTAAATTTATGTTAATGAATGAATGAATATGAATTTCAGCTACCACTTCTATAATTTCAACGACTCATTCCTAACATTTTCGTTTTAATGTTAAATAGACTGGGTGCATTTGACTTCATACGGCGCATCCCTGGATGCCGTAGTCCCCCAATCCTATTTATGAATATCCCATTCTAAAATATTGCACACTCAATAAAGGGAATTTAGTGATATTTTTTATATTAAAAAAAGTTGGCAAACTTAAAGAAATATTAAAATTTAAAGTTAAAAAGCCAAGAAAAATAAACAATTAACTTTTTTTTAAAATAATTTTTGGTACAAATATAATTGAAAGTCCTGACATTATCTATACAATCAAGCTAGTTTTAATTCTTTAGTTTTTAATAATGAAGATAAGAGCATTTATATATGACACTACACACGCTAGTTTGTAATTTTTAATTTCAAATTACTCTGAAGGTATACAACTTTTATGAAAATAAAAAATGTGCGAGTGTTTTTTGCTCTTAGACTGGATACACAAAGTTAAACAAAAAGGAAAAAACCGTTAACTTTTAGTCTAATTTGTTCAATTTGACATGGAGTGACTCATATGGCAAAATATTAAACTAGTTTCGTATACTTCCTTATTTATTTATATTTTAGGTTGTTATAAATACATATTTTCAGAATGACATACAGAAAATACTGCAGGAAGTTGTCATGCCTGTGCGTAGACCTGAAAAAACTTTGAATTTGATTTTAATAGGAAAATTTAAAAAGCATACAAATATTTTTTATCTCAAAGAGTTCTTGCTTAATAAATATTTTCTGAACAAATACTGCAAAAATCTTAATTTTTATAATGTTATAAAATGCAGTAGTTGTTTTTAAAATTTAATGGACTATACTCTACCATCTTTATCTATAAGCAATTGTTCGGAATTGGCTAATCTGATTATGCCCTTCAGTATTTGACATTTATAAACATAGTCATAAATGAGAAATTAAAAAAATTAGACCCGCTGGGATAGATATCTGAAGGGGGGAAATATGTGTAAGTCGACATTGGATATCATGTCTTAGAGAGGGAGGAACACCTCCATCTCTGGGGAGATAACACCTAACCACTCCACCAAATCAAGGACCTCGTCATGAATTCTCAATATTCACTTAAACAAATTAAAAAAAATAGCCTACATTGCTAGAAAACCAGCTCTGATTTAAAAAAAGTGGTTTTGTGACTTTTTCAGATTGTTTCTTCTCTCTGCTTCTCACCTTCCTTTCGTTCTCTTTCTCTTCTTTCCCCTTTCGTTTCTCTCTCTCTCTCTTTCTCTCTCTCCCTCTCTCTCTCTCTCCCTCCCTCTCTCCCTCCCTCTCCCTCTTTCTCTTCTCTTCCTTTTTTTTACCCTCCTCTTTGGATGCTACATCAGTATTGGTCTTTTAATAAGTATTGAGGTCATTAGAATTGATGTGTACTGGAATGCACACGAATGAGTATCTTAATTCTTTTTACGACTTGTCTGCTTTTGTAAAGATTAAGTTGTCATAAAGGATAACAATGGAATTCAGGACATTCAAAATATAATTTAGAGATAAATGTTTATTTTCATGCAACTAATTAGTATATCAAGTAATTCATATAACAAGGAAATAGTTCATCAAATAAACAACTAAATATGGAGATAAATTACATTGCGTTCTTT